ATTTGTATCAATAAATCAAAATCCATACCAATACAAAGTACTCATTTTTATATCATATTTCCACTTTTTTCCTTTAAAAAGGGATTGTCTATGACCATTAACCATTTATAACCAAACCCATTTAAATGAAAAAAAAAAGCTTTTATAAACAATATTTGGGAATTTGGGTGTTGTTCTCTCCAAACTGCTTCCTGCTGTTTGGAGATACTATCAATACCATGGGGATCCTTAGAAAATCCAGAAACCCAGCCTAATACTGGCTGTAGTGGTCTGAGCCTGCATGGTCTCAGCTGTTTTGGATGCTGGATCACCGAGGCCACTGCTTCAGGGGGTCTTGCTTGATCATACCATATTAGTCTGGAAGGAATACACAGCTTTTCATTTTCTGTGGAAACAAAAACAAAATCTCTTTTCCAAAGTAACATATCCTTAGACTTAAATTTAGAATTTAAGGCATTTTTAAAAGTATATAAGTTGGATTAATCCAGCAGCATTTATAATCAAATTTCTTTTAGGAGTTGTTGCTCCTTCCTCATCAATTAAGCTATTGAAAGACAGCACAATAACATTCAGTATCCAGACTCTCTGTGTATTTTCCATCTTTACATGGCTTTTTTTATTACTCTATTTCTTTTATTTTATTTTTTCATTTTTTGAGACAGGGTTCTCTGTGTAATTTTGGCTGCCCTGGAACTCACTATGTACACCAGGCTGACATTGAAATCACAGAGATATGCTTGTCTCTTCCTCTCAAGTGCTGGGATTAAAGGCATGTGCCACCACATCCAGCTAATTTATTTCTTTTATAATAACTTTATCCTTTTCTTTTCTTTCCCAAGCCTATGTATATTTTGAAACACACTGTAAAACATTTAGAGGTTTTTCTTTTTCCCTCTGAATGTGTCTTTACTGTATATCTCTGGCCAAGAGTCTTTTATCTGCTGAACAGCATTGCTAAAATTAAAGTGGTAGCTGATCCTATTCTATTCCTTGGCTTTCTGGGAGTCTAGCTTCATTTCTAGCTCCATGCTTATTGCCACAATTCTTTGGAGTTTCTAGGTTCATACTACCATAAAAAGCATGCTGCTGACTGCTCATTAATATCACTTAATTTTTTTTGTATTGGAGTCTCTTTTTAAATTTATTTATTTATTTATTTTAATTTTAAATAGCTTGTTTTACATGTCAATCCCAGTTCCCTCTCCCTGCCCTCCTCCCGCACCCCTCATCCCCCCTATCCTCCCACCCTATTGCCAATTCCTTCCACATAGGGGATATCTAGAGTCTATCATTTCATTCAGGGTAGGGTCCAGGCACTTCCCTAAGAGTCCAGGCAGAGAGAGCAACCCTCTTTGTGTTATGGACACACGATGTCTGTTAGTATTCGAGGGATAAACACTGATCCACTGCTCAGGACCACGTAGGTAGCCCAGGCCTCCTCATTGATTCTCACATTCAGGGTGTCTGGATCGGTCCCATGCTGGCCTCCCAGCTGTTGTTGGTCTGGGGTCCAAGAGCTCTCCCCTGTTCAGATCAGCTGTCTCTGCTGGTTTTGCCAGCCCATTCTTTGCCAATTTGCTCATCACTCCTCTCTCTCTGTCGCTGGGTTCCTTGGGTTCTGTTCAGTATTTAACTGTGGGTGTTTGCCTCTGCTTCCATTAGTCACTGGATGAAGGCTCCAGGATGGTTATAGACATCAAGTTCACTATCAGGAATAGGCATTCGAGGTGGTCTCTACACTATTGCTTAGCTTGCCAATTGGTGTCATCCCTTTAGATCACTAGAGGTCACAATGGTGCCTGATCTGTCTTCTAACCTATGATTCCCTCTTGCCCCATCCTACCCTCCCAGTCGACTTTCCTGTTCCTCTAAGTCCTACTCTTTCTTCCACTTCTCCCCCTCTCTATTTCCCAGGTCCCCCTTCCCCCAACCCCTCACCGTGTTCCCGATCTGTTCAGAGGATCTTGCCTCATTTCTCTTCTCTTGGGTACCATGTATATCTTTTAGGTTCTTTCCTGTTTCCCAGACTCTCTGTCAGTGGAAGTGCAGACTGGCACTCTCCTAATTCATGCTTAAAATCCATATATGAGTGAGTACATACCATGTTTGTCTTTTTGTGACTGGGTTACCTCACTCAGCATGGTTTCTTCCAGTGCTATTCATTTACCTGCGAATTTCAAGATTCCATTGTTTTTTCTGCTGAGTAATACTCCATTGTGTAAATGTACCACATTTTCTGTATCCACTGTTCAGTTAAGGGGCATCTAGGTTGCTTCCAGGTTCTGGGTATTACAAGTAATGCTGCTATGAACATAGTGGAGCAGATGCCCTTGTTGTATGAATTTGCCTCCTTTGGATATATGCCTAAGAGTGGAATTGCTGGGTCTTGTGGTAGATTGATTCCCATTTTCCTGAGGAATCTCCATACTGCTTTCCAAAGTGGCTGTACGAGTTGGCACTCCCACCAGCAGTGGAGGAGTGTTCCCCTCTCTCCACATCCTCTCCAGCATAAATTGTCTTCGGTGTTTTTGATTTTAGCCATTCTGACAGGAGTAAGATGGTATCTCAGAGTTGTTTTGATTTGCATTTCCCTGATGGCTAAGGATGTTGAGCACTTTCTTAAGTGTCTCTTGGCCATTTTAGCCTCCTCTATTGAGAATTCTCTGTTTAGTTCTGTACTTCACCTTTTGATTGGATCCTGTGGTGTTTTGGAGACTTGCTTCTTGAGTTCTTTGTAAAATTTGGAGATTAGCCCTTTGTCAGATTTGGGGTCAGTGAATATCTTTTCCCATTCTGTGGACTGCCTTTCTGTCTTGTTGACTGTGTCCTTTGCCTTACAGAAGCTTTTTAGTTTCATGAGGTCCCATTTGTTAATTGTCGATCTCAGTGTCTGTGCCACTGGTGTTATGTTCAGGAAGTGGTCTCCTGTACCAACTCATTGAAGAGTATCTCCCACTTTCTCTTCTAAAAGTTTCAGTGTGGCTGGATTTATGTTGAGATCTTTGATCCATTTGAACTTAAGTTTTGTACAAGGCGATAAACATGGATCTATCTGCAGTCTTCTGCATACCAGTACCCAGTTATGCCAGCACCATTTGTTGAAGATGCTTTCTTTTTTCCATTGTATAGTTTTAGCTACTTTGTCAAAAATCAAGTGTTCATAGGTGTGTGGGTTAAAATCAGGGTTTTCAATTCGGTTCCATTGGTCTACCTGCCTATTTTTGTGCCAATACCAAGCTGTTTTCAGGACTATAGCTCTATAATAGAGCTTGAAATCAGATATGGTGATGCCTCCTGAAGTTCCTTTATTGTATAGGGTTGTTTTGGCTATCCTGGACCTTTTGTTTTTCCATATAAAGTTGACTAATGTTCTTTTTATGTCTGTGAAGAATTGTGCCAGAATTTTGATAGGGATTGCATTGAATCTGTAGAGTGCTTTTGGCAAGATTGACATTTTTATTATGTTGATCCTACCAATCCAAGAGCATGGGAGATCTTTCCATTTTCTGGTATCCTCTTTGATTTCTTTCTTTAAAGACTCAAAGTTCTTGATATACAGGTCTTTCACTTCCTTGGTTAACATTATCCCCAGATATTTGATGCTATTTATGGCAATTGTAAAGGGTGAGGTTTCTCTGATTTATTTCTCAGTCACTTCATCGTCTGTATATAATAGGGCCACTGATTTTTTTTAGTTTACCTTGTATCCTGCCACCTTGCTGAAGGTGTTTATCAGCTCTAGGAGTTGCCTTGCAGAGTTTTTCGGGTCACTTATGTAAACTATCATATCATCTGCAAATAGTGAAAGCTTGACTTCTTCTTTTCCTATTTGTATCTGCTTTATCTCCTTTTGTTTTCTTATTGCTGTAGCTAGGACTTCAAGTACAATATTGAAGAGATATGGAGAGAGTGGACAGCCTTGTCTTGTTCCTGATTTTAGAGGAATTGCTTTGAGTTTCTCTCCATTTAGTTTGATGTTAGCTGTTGGTTTACTGTATATTGCTTTTATTATATTCAGGTATGTTCCTGTTATCCCTGATCTCTCTAGGACCTTTATCATGAAGGGGTGCTGTATCGGAGTCTCTTAAAAGAGCCCTGCACCTTTTTCTGCTAATGCTGTCAGGACGCCTCCATTAAAAGAGTCTGGAGCCTCTGCTTGTCTCTAACAAACAGAGCCCACCTGAGAAAATGCTGCTAGCAAGAAGCTGTGCTTGCCTTTGTTCTTTTGTTTTTAGAATCCCCTTTTAAGTTTTGTCAGGTTTTACATGGAAATTCTTGCAACTCACATCTGGGCATCAATTTCAGAGATAATAACTTTTTAAAAATAAGCTCTGAGTTACTCTAAGACTCTAAGCAGTAATGGAGATGGTACTGTAACTGTCCTTCCACTAAAATCAAACTGATGCCATCATAGAGCCTTCATCCAGTAACTGATAGAAGGAGATAGCTAAGCACTGGGCCAAACTCCTGGAGTTCAGTTGTAGAGAGGGAGAAGCTATAATATGAGCAAAGGGGTCAAGACTATGTTGGGAAAACTCACAAACAGTTGATCTAAGCAAATGGGGGCTCACTGGGGAACTTAGATAGAACCAAGCCAGGCCCCCTGAATGCAGGTGTCAATTGGCAAACTTGGACAATATATAGGGCTGCTGACAGTAGAACCAGTATTTATCCATAGTTTCATGACCTGGCATTTTGGAAACCATTCTCTATGGAGGAATACTTTCTCAGCTTAGATTCAGGGTTGTGCCTCAGTACTGTCCCAAGTAATGTGACAGACTGTGATGATACCCAATGCTAGGCCTCATCCTCTCTGAAGAGTGGATGGGGGTGGGGTGAGAAGATGGTGAGGAAAGTGGGAAGATGAAAGGGAGCAAGAATTTGAATTTGTATTTTATTAGTAGCTTAAAAATAGATTTCAAAGAGATTGTACACTCTGCTGATGTCCAGTTATCATCCTCCTCCTCCTCATCATCATAATCATCATCATAATCATTAACACCCTCATCCTCATCCTCATAATCCTCATTATCATCATCCTTATCATCCTCCTTATCATCATCCTCATGATTCTCCTCCTCCTCCTCATAATCATCCTCATGCTCCTCATGATCGTCATCCTCTTCCTTCTCCTCCTCTTCATCATAATTATCCTCATCCTCATCATCTTCATGATCATCATCCTCTTCCTTCTCTTCATCATAATTATCCTCATCCTCATCATCCTCACGATCATCATCATCATTCTCATCCATATCATCCTGATCATCAACATTATCCTCATCTTTGTCATCCTCATGATCATCATCCTCTTTCTCCTCCTCCTCATCAACATCATCCTCATCTTCATCCTCCTCCTCATCATCATCATCATTCTCATCTTTATCATCCTTATCACGTTCTCATCATCCTCATCCTTCTCCTCCTCATCATCATCTTCCTCCTCATCATCCTTATCATCCTCCTATCATGTTCATTATCATTTTCATCATCCTTATCCCCCATCCACTGCTCAGGGAGGGTGAGGCCTCCCATGGGGGATCATCAAAATCTGTCACAGCATTTGGGGCAGAAGCTAGGTCCGCCTCCATGTATCTAGGCTGAGAGAGTGTCCTACTAGGATAAATACTGGCTCTACTGCCAGAAGTCCCACAGACTGCCCAGGCCTCCCAACTGACACCCACATTCAGGGGGTCTGGTTCAGTCCTATACTGGTTCCCCACTGTCAGAATGGTGTCCGTGAGCTCCCACTTGCTCAGGCCAGCTGTTTCTGTCAGTTTCCCCAGTGTGGTCTTGACCCCTTTGTGCATTACCCCTCCCTCTCTATAACTGGAGTCCAGGAGTTCAGACCAGTGCTTAGCTGTGAATCTCTGCTTCTGCTTCCAACAGCTACTGGGTAAAGGCTCTATGATGGCATTTAAGGTAGTCATCAATCTCATTACAGGGGAAGGGCATTTAAGGTAGCCTCTACTATTGCTTAGATTCTTAATAGGGGCCATCCTTGTGGGTTCCTGGACATTTCCTTAGTGCCAGATTTCTCATTAAACCCATAATGGCTCCATCTATTAAAGTATCTCTTTCCTTGCTCTCTTTCTCAATTCTTCCCCCCAACTTGATCTTCCAGATCCCTCATGTTCTCCTATCCCCTTCCTCTTCTCTCCTCTGCTTTCTCCTACCTTCCTCTCACTGCCCAGTGCTCCCAAAATTTACTCAGGAGATCTTGTTCTTTTTCCCTTCTCTGGAAGTCCCTGTATGTCTCTCTTAGGGTCCTCCTTGTTTCCTAGCTTCTCTGGGGTTTTGGATTGTAGGCTGGTAATCCTTTGCTCTATGTCTAATATCCACTGATAAGTGAGTACATACTATGTTTGTCTATCTGTGTCCCGGTTACCTAACTCAGGATAATTTCTTCTGGTTCCATCCATTTCCCTGTGAATTTCAAGGTGTCATTGTTTTTTTTTTTTACCACTGAGTAGTACTCCATTGTGTAAATGTACCATATTTTCTTTATCCATTCTTAGTTGAGTGGCATCTAGGTTGCTTCCAGGTCTGGCTATTACAAATAATGCTGCTATAAACATAGTTGAACAGACCCAGCAATTCTATTCTTTAGGCATATACCCAAAGGATTCACATTCATACTAGAAGGGCTACAGAGATTCTTGTACCACCATGTCTATTCCTGCTATTATGTATAATAGCTGTGAAATGGGACTAGCCTAGATGCCTATCAACAAATGAAAAGATAAAGAATATGTTACATATACGCAGCAGAAATTTATTTATTATGTTGGTTTATAATGGTTAACTAAATATTTTTCACTTTCCTTAGGCATCAGAATTCTTAGGTATGACAGTAGACATCTGTTTTCAGAATTATCAAGCCTATTGTATGTTTGTTTTGGTTCCTAACCTTCTTTTTTTCTGAACTGCAATATATAATGCTTATATTGGCTTTGCTGTGTTATAGGCTGTCCCTTCTTTGTTTTCTTATCCCATTGAAGGACAAACTGATGTTTCTCAGCCATGCTTTACCTCAAATTCTTTAAATATTGAAAGGAAACCCACATGTAGTGGCATGGATCTGTAATCTTAGTCTGTAATCCGTATGTATGGGGGCATTGAACTGAAAATCATTTCAATTAAACAAGGGGTTCCAAATTGTCCTGCAATATATAAGTAAAACCTTGTCTTAAACAAAAATAACAAAATAAAAGAATAAAAGGAAGAGGTAAACAGGCCAGCTTCCCGGCCTGTGTTCCAGAGCCTGCAGATCGCCTGGGAACTGCACAGAGCTCCCAATCCCGGCGGGAGCCAAGCACCCCAGACTCCAGATCTTCTCTCCCACCAACGAGTCCAGGAAACTAGAGAAGGCTGGGCACACAGGGAAGTAGCTGTCCCTCTGGCATCATCAGGTAAACAGGCCAGCTTCCCGGCCTCTGTTCCAGAGCCTGCAGATCGCCTGGGAACTGCACAAAGCTCCCAATCCCGGCAGGAGCATCAGGTAAACAGGCCAGCTTCCCGGCCTGTGTTCCAGAGCCTGCAGATCGCCTGGGAACTGCACAGAGCTCCCAATCCCGGTGGGAGCCAAGCACCCCAGACTCCAGATCTTCTCTCCCACCAAAGAGACCAGGAAACTACAGGAGCCAGGGAGACCAGGGGAGTAGCAGTTCCGGATCAGGTACAACAGGACCCAGCATAGGGTCCAGGGGACCAGGTAGGAGGCTAAGTGCCCCAGATTCCTGTTCTTCTTCTCTACCCACGGACCAGCATTTGGACAAGGCATAGAAGAACCACCAGATTACTGGACTTACTAGCACCCACCAAAAGGGAACTCTGGTCCCCAGACCAGGAAGGGGCTCTTTCTGCACCCACTAGAAGAAGAGATGGGAAAGAGACAATACAAAAACACAGTCAGCAACAGAAACACAAATATGACACCGCCAGATTCTAGAGACTCCACACCAGCAAGACCCCAATATTCCAACGCGAAGGAAGCAGAAGAGAACGACCTTAAAAGCACTTTCATGAAAATGATAGAGGCCCTAAAAGAGGATATTGGAAAATCCCTCAAAGAAATGGAAGAAAAAACAAACCAAAAAATGCAAGAAATGGAAGAAAAAAGAAACCAAAAAATGCAAGAATTGGAAGAAAAAACAAACCAAAAAAGGCACGAAATGGAAGAAGAAATGAAGCAAAAAATGCAAGAAATGGAAGAAAAAGCAAAGCAAAAAATGCAAGAATTAGAAGAAGAAACATACCAAATAAGGCAGGAAATGGAAGAAGAAACAAAGCAAAAAATGCAAGAAATAGTAGAAAAAACAAAGCAAAAAATGAAAAAAATGGAGGAAGAAACAAACCAAAAAAGGCAGGAAATGGAAGAAGAAACAAAGCACAAAATCCATGAAATGGAACAAAAAGCAAACCAAAAAATGCAAGAAATGGAAGAAAGAACAAACCAAAAAATTCATAAAAGGCAACAAACGGACGAACAGATAAACAGAAAATTGCAAGAAGCAATGCAAACGCTGCAAGGGTTGAAAACTGAAATAGAGTCACTAAAAAAAACACAATCTGAAGAAAGGCAGAAAATAGAAAAGCTGGACAAACAGTCAGGCACTACCAATACAAGCATTACCAACAGAATAGAAGAGATGGAAGAGAGAATCTCAAGTGTTGAAGATACATTAGGAGAAATGGATTTATAACCAAAGAAAACCTTAAATCCAACAAATCCTTAACACAAAACATCCAGGAATTATGGGACACCATGAAAAGACCAAACCTAAGAATAATAGGTATAGAAGAAGGAGAAGAAATCCACCTCAAGGGGGCAGAAGGCATATTCAACAAAATCATAGAAGAAAACTTTCCCAACCTTAAGAAAGACATGCCAATGAAGGTACAAGAAGCCTACAGAACACCAAATAGAGTGGACCACAAAAAAATCCCCTCGCCACATAATAATCAAGACCCCAAACATACAGAATAAAGAAAGAATATTAAGAGCAGCTAAGGAAAAAGGTCAAGTAACATATAAAGGCAGACCTATCAGAATTACACCTGATTTCTCCATGGAAACTCTGAAAGCCAGAAGGTCCTGGATAGATATTCTACCTACACTAAGAGACCATGGATGCCAGCCCAGACTACTATACCCGGCAAAGCTCTCAATCACTATAGACGGAGAAAACAAGATATTCCATGACAAAACTAGATTCAACCAATATGTGTCCACTAACCCAGCCCTACAGAAAATTTTGGAAGGAAAACTCCAACCCAAGGAAGCTAACTACAACCAGAAAAACATAAGCATTAGAGAATCCCTCTCTACCAACAGCCAAAAGAACAAAGGGGTGAAATTCCACCCATAATTCCACCACCAACAACCATCGCAAATCGAAGAAGGATGAGCAATCAATGGTCATTAATATCCCTCAATATTAACGGCCTTAACTCACCCATAAAAGGACACAGACTAGCAGAATGGATTCGAAGACAGAACCCTTCCTTCTGCTGCATACAAGAAACACACCTCACCCTCAAAGACAGACATTACTTGAGAGTTAAAGGTTGAGAAAAAATTTTTCAATCAAATGGACCCAAGAAACAAGCAGGGGTAGCAATCCTAATATCTAACAAACTAGACTTTAAAATAAAATTAATCAAAAGAGATGAAGGAGGTCATTACATACTCATCACAGGTGAAACCCACCAAGATGAAGTGTCTATCCTGAACATCTATGCCCCCAATACAAAGGCATCCACATTCGTTAAAGAAACATTATTAGAACTTAAATCTCATCTAAAGCCCCACACAGTTATAGTGGGAGATTTCAACACACCACTCTCACCACTAGACAAGAATACCAGACAGAAACTCAACAAAGAAGCAAAGGGTCTAATAGAAGTAATGACCCAACTGGGATTAACAGATATCTATAGAACATTTCATCCACATAAAAAAGAATATACCTTCTTCTCACCACCACATGGAACCTTCTCAAAAATCGACCACATACTTGGCAACATATCAAACCTCAGCAGCTACAAAAAAATTGGAATAACTCCATGCATCTTATCAGACCACCATGCCTTAAAATTAGAATTCAACAACAACACAAATTGCAGAAAACCTACAAACTCATGGAAATTGAATAATGCTCAACTGCACCATCCCTGGGTCAAAGAGGAAATAAAAAAGAAATTAAAGACTTCCTCGATTCAATGAGAATGAAGACACAACATACCCAAACCTATGGGACACTTTGAAAGCAGTGCTACGGGGAAGTTCATAGCACTAAGTGCTCACATGAAGAAACAGGAAAACAGTTATACCAGAGAATTAACATCACAGCTAAAAGCTCTAGAACACAAAGAAGCAAACTCCCCCAGGAGGAGTAGACGCCAGGAAATAATCAAATTGAGGGCTGAAATCAACAAAGTAGAAACCAGGAAAACAATACA